CTACCCCTATCTAACTTACTGTATACTTCTTTGGGGTCACAGTCCTAAAAGTCATCTTAACTGTCTGCATGTTTCTCAGAAAAGAGCCATCCGTCTAATATTTAATCTTAAACCTTATTCTCACACGAGATCCTTTTTCGTCGAGCACAATATCTTGTCACTACCTTGCCTTTACATCTACTTCACGGCTATTTTTGTTTTTAAATTTCTGAACAACTTACTCCCTCCCTCTTTTTCTAACTTTTATATTTATAGTAATTCCGTCCAAATATTGAACACAAGACACGCGTCTGTTATTTATCCATCAAAAACCCGCCTTAAGCTCGTTGCAACTAGTCTTAAAATTTTGGGCCCTAAGATCTGGCAATTATTTGTACCCCCAGATATTAGGGTTATCACTGAATTGTACCATTTTAAAATTAAACTGAGATCGCGGTTAAATTTGCTTGATCCCGACACCACCATCTAAATCTTAACCTTTTATATATTACACTATATATGGCTCATTTCATCGCTAATAATTATTTTAAATTCAGCATATGTTTCCGTCCACTTAGACTCGTTTATTCATCTCTTCAATCAATCCATACTTTTAATTATTGTATCAAATACTATAAATTATCTCACATTGCCAATCTACTTTCTGTTTTTGATTGTAGATTCATTAGTAATATCTGTATATACTTATATGTTCAGATATTAACTTTGTTTTTCGAGTGTTAATCCTACTGATTCTATTTATCGATTTTTGCATGCATTGAAATTTAATTTGTATATTTTCTGTTCTGTTTTAAATTGCATATATATCTCAAGTAAAGTACTTAGGGTGGCCTCTCCACAAGTTTTTTCATTTAAACTTATTTGGTTCCCTTATTGAAAATAAAATAAATAAAAAAAAAAAAAATAAAAAAAAAATATATATATATATATATATATATATATGTGTGTGTGTGTTTGTGTGAGTGTGTGCGCGCACCTGCATATATGCATACAACACAATACGATACAAAACAATACAATACGATAAAGTACAATGCAATACAATACATTACATTACAATACAGTACAATACAATACAATACAATGCAATACAATAAGGCTCATTAAATGAAATACCGGTACATATAAATTACAAACAAAGATGCTCGAATGATTAATCATCATCATCATTATCGGAGTATAATAAATGCATGCTTGGAACATTATTTCAAATTTGAATAATACAAAGTTAAATGATGGATCGTTATCCGGAATAAAACGTCATTATTATTATTTATTATTATTATTTATTATTATTATTATTATTTTATTTTGGAAATTTTAAATTCAGTTGAACCATCCATCGCTAAGCCATTCATCGTAATTTAATGAATGTATAAATCATCTTGAAGTTTGAATTTGAAAGTAAACGATGGTAATGATGATGATGATGTTAATGGTGATGATGATGATGTTAATGGTGATGATGATGATGTTAATGGTGATGATGATGATAACAATAACGGAAATAACAGTGGTAGTGATGATGGTGAAGATGACTAAGATTCTCTTTCAAAAAGTAAAATCATTAAAACACGATATTTGGATATGAAGACATACATGAATGACAACGCGTCAGAAATGGATAAATGTTTAGTGTACATACACATCTGTGATCTTCACTTTCTTTCTTTTACGCCCTCTCTCTCCCTCTCTCTCTTTCTCTCTTTGTCTCTCTTTCTTTCTCTCTCTCTCTCTCTCTCTCTATATATATATATATATATATAACATATATTAATACGTACATATATATGTGTACGCTTATGTATAAACAATTCTTAAGCAAAATTAATAAGTAACTGAAAACGAACAGACAGACAGATATGGAGAGCAAGAAAGAGAGAGAAAAAGAGAGAGAGAGAGAAAGACAGACAGACAGATACAGATAAACAGATAGACAGACAGATACAGATAGACAGACAGGCAGATAGACAGATAGACAGACAGACAGACGTAGAGAGACAGACATAGGCACAACGCAGTCATTTATCTGCAGACACACTTAAAAGAACATAAATTATTCTTAAACATTAGAGACAGAAGTTCTGCGATGAAGGAATGATTGACTGAAGGAAGGAGAGAGCGAGTAAACGAATGAATGAATGGATGGATGGATGGATGAACGGATGGATGAACGGATGGATGAACGGATGGATGAACGGATGGATGAACGGATGGATGAATGAAAATATAAATAAATTTAAAAAAATATCGGCTAATGAATGAAACGCGATGAAATAGTCTGAAAAAAAATTCTTACCGAATAAATTAATGAATGAATGAACAGATAGAAACACAAGCATAAAAAAAAGGAACCACCAAATGCACACACATCACAAACAGACACACACATCAAACACAAAAACACACACACACACAATCTGTTTACTGTTGCATATATAAAAATACCACTGGCACCAACCAATATAACAACACAACATAGCAGAACATAGCACAATAT